ATTTAATGCTTCAGAGACAAAACGCTATTTGAGTTTCGATTCTCCCTGTCATTCTGGTGTGGTTAATATATAAGACCCCAGAGTTCCTAAATTTAATTAAGTGCTCTGGCGTCACAAATCATGAGTTAAATTTGAATGTTGGGATGCCTATAATGTTGCTTCGCAATGTTGACTCATCTCTTGGTTTGTGCAATGGAACCTTATTAATTATCACGAAACTTGGAAATCATGTTATAGAGGGTGAAGTTCTTGGAGCATAATGTTCACGTCAGAAGGTTCTTATTCCAAAAATGTTATTGACGCCTTTAGATCGGAGACTTTCATTCAAGTTTCAGTGACAACAGTTTCCAATTAGTGTGTCTTACGCAATGTCTATGAATAAGAGTTAAGGTCAATCTTTGTGGGGCGTGGGATTGTTGTTGAGAAAACCTGTATTTAGTGATGGACAATTATATGTTGTTGTTTATAGAGCAATGAGTCCCAATAGTCTAAAAATTGTTATTTGTGATGGCGACAGTGATAATAAGCCCGGTTTATTCTACTATAATGTTGTATTTAAAGAAATGTTCCGAAATGTGTAATAATTTTTTTTTTTGTTTTATATGCATGCTCTTTACATATATTTTTGCTTTAAATCAAAAGAGAACCAAATTTTTTTAACACTATTCCCTTTTTTATTTCATGTCGCGCATCGCGCGGGTGGCGTACTAGTTAGTTTTTAAGTACAGTTACTACAGTACCACCATCAATTAGAACATAAAACAAATATTTTAATTTAATTCGGAATTAACAGTGTAAGTGACTCCTTGAGTTGACAGCCCATGAGGCCCACCCCACACGCTTGGGCCGCCCATGAGCTATCTGCCCCCAATCTTTGACCGTCCAAATCTCCAAAGTCAAAAGCAATCCGACGGCTGTATCTGGTCACAGACGCGCAAGGAAGGAAAACAGGTTTTGATAAGGATTTGTTTTATGTATATTATCTTTTTTTTTCTCTTTTATTATTTAATTTTGAGTGTTTGTTTTGTCTATTAAAAGTGTTGGGGGAGAAAGCTCGGGACTTGGGTTTGGTGCAGACTTCTTTTATCTTCCCAAAACTCATCATCGACTCTTTCATAAATTTCGGATCTTTACATATAATAGTTTTCTTGTATGATTCAACAAGACGCCATACATCTTTCTTGCTTAGTCCCTTCTACCTGTGCTCTTCTTGTTTGAAGCTTTTTGTTGAGAGAGAGAGAGAGAGAGAGAGAGAGAGAGAGAGAGAGACTGGACAAGAAGAAGGTAAAAAGAGCTGATTTATGTTACTCGTTTGTTATAAAGTGCGTGCCTTTTTTTTTATTTTTTT